ACATGAACCCCATGGGATGCCAATCAGACGCAGCACCAGAGCCCGAGCAATCCCCCATTCCTGTCCTCTCATCCTTCGAAGACAAATCACGATGTTGGTGTTCTGACCTGGGAAGACAAATCAGGCCGGAGCTGAAAGGAAAGTTGCGAAAGCAGTATATAGATATCCTTCCAAATATGGGTGTGGGTGTCCTGGACACAGGGGACAATAAGATGGACGATAAAAACCATGAAGACCACATGCACTGTCCAAGACTTCGCAACTTGGGATGCAATCAGATCATGTTTTTCATGTGTTTCATTTTGCCAGATTCTGAATGCTTATTTGTTTTAGTGATGTGGTTTTTGTACTTGGCCCCAAAAACCATCCATTGTGTGGCCCATTGTTTGGCCTTCGCGCAGCCCTTTGAGATTGGGCCCCCCTGCCTGCATTTGAATCCTGGCAGAGTTCTGAACCATGACAATCATGAACAATGGTTTATAAAGTCACAACACATGCAACCAAGTCTTGTGGCCCATCCCCTTGTCGAAAACTCCACCAAAGAATCTCAAGCCATGTTGATGATCCAAAAGATCTCATCCCGCAGCGCCTCTGTGATCATGAGGTACCTCAAGGAACGTGTTGCTCATTGCACGACCAACCACGCAGGGATTCTGCATGTGGGAATGTGTCAATATTAAAAAATCTCAATGGATGACTCCAGAAATTCCTGCGTTTAGATTTGGAAGCCGCTTAGAGATAGAGTATAGAGACGTGGCTATCATGTTGAGTTGGCCATTGATAACCCCATGGTGAAGCCGCTTGCATGCCTTTTACCATTCTGAACAGACCACCCCTCCTGCAGGAGTTGACCAACACACGCGAGCATGGTGCCCAGCATGTTCTGAACAGGCCACTGCAGCCACTTGATGAGTCTTGAAGCGAATTAACATTAATTATAGAAAACATATATGCAGCCTCAGCGTTTGGTTTTGCGGATGCTCATCCTCACCTGTGAATTGCATGGGTAGAATGCAACAGGCGCTTAGAGAGTATTCAGCCGCATGACAGCCATGCCGTGGCCTTAATGACTTTCACAGGCGGTGGCATGCAAGATGGTGGTGGTACTGTCTCATGGTGTACCTGGTTCATGGACAGATATGTAAATTAAATTGGCAACATGCCCAACACTGTTCAGTCTTGTATAATAATTGCTGAATCAAAAACCAATTGGTAAATTGCCCACCTCAACTTGCCTGCTCTTTTCACTGAACCCTTCCAGGTTGGAACTGCCACTTTCTGTTTCCTGAGTTTGCCAAACCATGTTCCGTGGTAGCCGCTGCAGTGAATCGAACTGCACATTCTTTGCTTATGACAGTTCTCAAGTTCCCTTGTGAAAAGCACTGGCCAAGCATCATTGCCACCCTCCATCATCTCCCATTCCTCCCGAGTCACAATGCCACAACGTATAAGTTTCTCAGGGTCGGCCTCAGCTATAAAAATGTAAAAGTGCATTGCATTCAATGGTAACCTAGAGTGTTTCATGCACAGGCTCCAAATTGCAAATCTTAATGCATGAAAGCGCTAAACACATGTTGCCATCCAACGCACCCAAGGGTTCGAATCACATAGTTGACAAAGTCTTGAGAACACCGTGGATGATGAAGCCTCGATTGTGATATCAGAATTATATAGGACACTTGCAAGAACTGGCTGAAGGGCATTGAGATTCGGCGTATCAAAGCGCAGTGTACCAAGAAACCATCGGAGCGTCTTCCACGCTGTCGCTGATTGACTCCTGCCAGAGGCATGGTGCATTGGCCATGTCTGCGAGCACTATACTGCCCAGCAGACTCTTGGCGAGACTGTTGCGTCCATACGATATGACAATGCATTCCCAACATAAATTTTATGTAAGGGCCATGCATGACATGGTTTGAAACTTGTGTTGGAACATGGAATGACTCCTCATGAGACGGATCTGCTGTCATGGCCAAATATTGATCAGGCATGAGCCAAGGCAAAAAGGTGCTGCAAACACCATCTATGCAGGGACAAATCTAGAACAACCTCAATAGAGAAAGCATGCCCAAAGTTCCACAACATCTCCCTGGGGCACTCCGCAGGACCATGCGACCCATCAAACCTGCCGTGTTGCACGCTGAGCGCAGGGTTGGTATAAGCATGCTGGGCAAACGCTCGCATGCGAAGCCAGGCCCATACATATTTAGTATTCCACACAGGTGCCATGTAGGAGAAAGTTCATAAGTGCCATCCAATGATCAACAATCATCACAAGCTCCATGATATCAACCAAACTGGTCCAACAAATTTGCAACTTGGTTGGGGCTCTTGGGATGGGTATCTACGTACTCATGCACGTCACTCCAACGTTTTTTGGTTTGAAGCATGATGATGCAAGAGCGCAACGCGCCCAGAATGCTTCTGAAACCTGTCAGCTCTGCCCTCAGTGGCCCAAACCTGCACGCCACTGTTAATGGATCTGGTCACCTGCGGAGCGTTCCCATGGTGAGATCAGGACATTGCGAGCTTAGCTGTGAGATCTCTATATACTAACCTGTCAGGTCTCTATACGAGGCAAAAGCAGGCTGGGCAATGGCCCGCTTGCAGTAACAATTTTCCTATCAGTTTGGCACCCCAAAATCTGACCCCCACAACCAACTAAACATGTAGCAAACCTGTAGGAAAAAGGTTACTGAGGGTATCTATGTAATCATGAATGTCACTCCAAAGTTGTATGATTTGCAGCATGAAAACGGATGCGAGCGCAATGCGCCCAGCATGCTTCTGAACCCTGCAACTCAGCCACCACTGCCCCAAACAGCCAAGCCTCCAATGGTTCGCGGCAACTTGCAGAGTAGGTGTACCTCAGAAGATTGGGCAGCTGAGTGGATATTTCAACCGTTCAAAAGACAAATTGCACTCCTCATCTCAGTACAATACACCACCAAGGACGATAAACTGTTGAATTCAACCAATTTCGCAACTTGTGGCGCCACAAGTCTGATTTCTAAAAGTTGTGGCGCCACAAAATTTCAAATTGAAAACTTGTTACTCCACAAGTTTTAAAATTTTAAAATTAAAAATTTTGTGGCGCCACAACATTCTGAATTGAAAAGTTGTGGCGCCACAAAATCCCAACTTGAAAAGTTGTGGCGCCACAAAATCCTAATAGATAACCTAAAACACATCACCCAAGACCCCATGATACAGGGGGGAATGCTGCCCGTTTTTTTTTAACCTTTTGAAGACCAGACGTTTTTTTCTTGTTTTTTTGGTTCTGAAGGCAACAGCAAATATCTTGAAAGGACAGGCTGCCGCTATCACTTTTCAATTTTTTGTGAACCAAAAAATCTGTAGAATTGATGTGAAATAATGTTGTACTTATGAGAAAATGATCGCAACTCACACTTCTGAGGCTCCTGCACACTAAAAAAGATCCAGCTGCTGAGCACTGGTGAGGTCCTGGCAACAGCTGTTTGCTGGACATAGCACGCTTGACACTCAACAGGTTGATATGTTTACTCATGAAAAAAGTGCCAATTGAACAATGTGTGAATACAATGTTTGCATCACAAACGCAAGTGTCGCAATAAACTTTAGGGCATTTGACTTAGTCTACATGGTAAAGACTTTTCACGATGCTCGAAATTATCTAAAACGGTTCAACTTCAAGGATTTTCGAGCATCATCACTTTTCGGCATTATCCCAAAACATTCTGTTGCTATATCCCCCACCTGACCAAAGAGCGTCCATATACCATGCTGGGCCTGCAGGCTCGCGTGGCAGTGCGGTGGGACGTATATACAACACCATGCATGCGAGCTGAAGTAGCCCAGCATGCTTGTGGAAAACCAAACAGACAGGACTGAATTCAAGGTTTCCTGTTGGTGCCAGTTCAAAGTCATGGAACACATCAGTTGTGGAATTCAATGCATGCGCGAAAGAATCAAGAACATACATGCGGTGCAACCACCACAACTGAAACTTATATAGGAAGGACATGGGCCTCTATGGACTGCAGTCTTGCAGCAGTTCAGAAATACAGCTGGCATGTCATGTTGACTCACAAGAGTGCAACCCCAATAAGTGCAGTTTGAAAGCACGCTGGGCATTTTCTCGCGTGTGCATGGGCTAGTTCTGACCCAATGTTCACAAAAGAAGCACAAACAAATTTTCCCGGATACAATCCATCCAGCTCAATCGCTGTGCAGCTCTCGATGCAATGTTAGCATCTCCTATTCCGGTCCATGGCTTGCTCCCTCTTGAGCATCTGCAGGGTGGCTTGCACCTTCACTCTCCTGGCTCTTCCTCCTTTTGAGTCTTCGTCTTCTCCTGGGTGACTTGGGCGCATCTTGCTCACCTTTGGGGGCCTTTTCCTTCTTTTCTATGGGGTGAGAGCATTCCAATGCAGCAAAGATGTACCTCAAGTTCGTCTCGTTGAGCTCGACGTGGAGGTCCTTGGATTTAACATGCCATAGCATTCTGCAGCTGATGCCCTCGAACTCGACTCCATCTGATGATGTAAATGGTGGCAGCCAAACTGATATCTCCTGGGCGATCAGGAAGCGGTCATCTTCCCTCGCCTGCCTGAACCTGGGCTGTGGCTCCCCCTCCTTCATTCCAGCCATCATGTGAGCGCGAAGCATGGCAGTGCACGCATCATTTCCTCAGTATGCACTATATATAATCAGGAAAATCCCTACTTATACTGCGGCAATCGAAAAGCCGTGGGCAACACAAAATGTTTTCAACTCTCAAAAGTGTATATGGGGTCTGCTTCGAAAAGGCCTTGCCATAAAATGTTAAACAGGTCTGAGATGCTTTTCTGCTTGGTATCCTGCCACCATTCCACATTCAGGTTGTGAACTTCCTTCTTGCTGTGCCGGTTTTGCGCCTTGCCAGTCACCAGCAGACACAACGTTGCATCTGCCTTGGTGAGGGTGATGTAGATCCTGCCATTATGCTCCTGGGCCTCTGGAAACCACTGGCGCTTGCCAATTGTGACCCTGTGCACGGTCGCGATGCCGATGTGACGAGTTGCCCAATCGTCATTCACCTCATCATCATTGCCATTGCCCTCATCATTGTCAGCACCATTGGCATCACCATTGCCACCATCATTGCCACCAACATCTGCCATATGCACATTCGAAGCGGTATAGATCAACGAAGTTTTGAGCCTATATTGTCTTGCATATACCCTGCAGAGTTGCGCAGGCTGGACCAACAACATCTCCCATTGCAATGCTTTCAGCTTGCCCTTTACAAGCATTTGCACTGGTGTTAGGTGATGACACATTATGGCATTTGAGTTGCACAACTGTGGCATGCGCTCAAATTCGTTTGCGAGTGGCGAGACCCAGCAAACATCATGAAACCGTTCCACTGTGCTCCAAATCAAATTGCAATAAACGTTGCAACAGCTTCCATTCAAGCAAGTCCAAGACATATGTATATATATATATGTACTCCGACACCATGAAGTGTCACCTTTTTTTTTGCATGTGGCTGGCTGGGACAACAAATGCTGATGCAAGCCAACTGCGAAATCAGATGCAGCGGTCATGCACGTTTCCTATATAAAGCACTCAAAGTTCGGACCCGCGCACACACACGGGAATGATTGAAAAAACGTGCAAGTTCGGACTCGCACACATGGGAATCCTTGAGAAACCGTCATGGTTCCGGAAACTCGCACACACGGCCTTGAAAAACCGTCATGATTCCGTATGACGGAATCCGTCACTTCTTCCCTCGGAGGTGTTCACCTAGCTTTGCCGCGCAATCTCTTCCGGGGGTTATCGGCTTCGATCACCTCCTCGACCTCTGCGGTCTTCTTCTTCTTCTCCAAAACGAAGAGCTCGTCGCCGGCCTCAAGTTTGCCCACGTTGCGCAAGACCGGAAGCGTGATCGGCTTGTCCAAATCAAGCTTGTTCTTCCTCATGACTTCGACGCTCGGGTGAACCTGCATGCAATGGTCTCAAGTCAGAATTTACCACATGCAGGGAAATGATTCGTCAAGATCTGCCACAACATAAATAAATGTGTTCGACCAAAAAATAGATGGCATCATCGCCATGCAGAGAAGAAAGTATACATTATATATATATGTATGTATATTGCAAACAAATGTGAATAGAAAGCGCACCTCCATATTCACACTCTCTTCATCATCCGTGCCCGGAACCATCCACATTGGATTGCAGAAGCTGCCAAACTTCGTGTACGGAACGATGCACACCTCGTATGGGCCATACACCCCAATGGTGATCCCAGTCGCCTTCTCGGGCTCAACCACCAAGATCTTCGATGTCGCGCATGGCAGCGCCAGCTTCTTTGCCTGCCAAACTCGGCTGACTTTCAAAGCCTTGGGGTCCTTCCACAGCTGCACGGTCAGCCATCCCTTGAGCTCCTTGACCTGCTGGTGCATGGTGGCCAGGATCTTGCCCTTGAGCACCGTGATGCCAAACTCAGCGGAGGTATGGGGAGCATCGGTAACCCAAAACAGCTGTGTCTGCTGCTTCGGCTCTTCGTACTCCTTCCATTCCTTCTGGAGCAAGCTTTGTATTTTCACCTTCACCTGCCCACCTTCAGGCTCGCTTCGAAGCAAAGTCACTTCGCTGTCGTGAATTTCTTTGATCTCTCCAATCACATTGCTGTTCTGGATTGTGACACCAACCCGAAAGCCCATCGAAGCAAGGACATCCACCTGATTCTTCAGATGGCCCTGCTCATCGTACACACGGAAAGATGCATGACCTTCCCGTGCAGTTGCCTTGGGCTTTTCCTCACTTGCTCCTTCCTTCCATGACTCTGGCGGCTCGATGGATGGCTTCCCAATCTCCTCCGCAAACTCCTTCAGAAGGGAGATGCATGCGTCTTCCATCTTTTGGAATTCCCTGGACTTCTTGTCCAGGAGCACCGCGCAAAGGCAGCACTCCAGCCGGCCCACTGCTCTCTGGAGCGCCGTCTCGTTCTCAACCTGGCCAACCAAGGTCTTCCACTTCTCCACCATCTTCAGGGCCTTCTCGGCCATCTTCACGACCGCGGTGTTCGTGAGGGCCTTCTTCGCCTTGGGGCAACATGTTTCATGTGCACTATATATATATATATTGTGGAGACATGCGGCTTACCTTATAAGGAAGCGAGTCAAAGACCCAGCTTCTTTAAGGCCAACAACTCAAAGGGATGCGCATAAGCGCCATGCATGGGTGTGTATATATATATATGTGTGTGTATATTTATTTATTGTTTTTCAGGTGTATATATATATATATATGTATGTATATATATACATGTAAATATATATATATGTAAATATATATATATACATGTAAATATATATATATGTAAATATATATATATATGTAGACATATATATCTATATGTATATATATGTAGATATATATATATATATGTATATGTGTGTATACATGTATATATGTATACATGTATATATGTATACATGTATATATGCATACATGTATATATTTATGTATGTATACGTAAATATGTATATATATATATATGTATGTATGTAAATATGATGCTGATATGTACAAGCCAACGGTGTGAACACATTGGGAAAGACTTGGTGGAATGTTCATCCGAAGTCACATCGGTTACTGACAGCGCCCGGTCAGAGCAGTATGCATGCTTGAGCAAGGCATGACGCCACCACAGCATGGGCCCATGCTTGACATCCTGGCTCAGCTGGGTCCACACTTCCGGCCCCAAGTCCCTGCTAGGGCGGCCATTTGCCCTGACGAAAGATTCGGTGTGCTTCAAAGCTCCACCTGCCCCGGCGAACTTCATGGCAAATGTGAAGATGGGCCCTGCTGACAGGTGGCATTTTGGCCTGGACCGCCAGGTTTCATCTGCTATCTCGCTCCATTGAGGAGCTCGGCTGTGCGTTTTCTCATAGTTCTGAATGGCCTGCAAGATTTTCTTCAGCAGCTGCATTTCATCTTCTCCTTTGGAGACTTGCTGTGTGGCGTTCATGCCCATTGAGACCAACTCAATCACACCCGGCATCTCTGCAGCCACACATCGTTTGATCACCATCCAGGACGAGCCATTGTTGATGGCCGCGGCCCAGGCAGAGCCAATGGCCGACATTGTCAGGCGGCCAGAGCCATCCGTTAATGTTGGCTCATCATGCAATGCACCGTGCTGGATGGCACGGTTAGCCATGTTCGCATGGCTTCCACTGATTGTAGCATATCGCAACATGGCTCCCGGTGCAGGAGCCAAGCGCCCAGAAGCCTCTTGGTACAGCTTCTCGTTGAACTTCCTGCAGGGTTATTTATGTATGTATGTACATATATGTGTTTTGGTTTTGTGTTCTGGAAGCACACCGCAAGACTCTGTTATATAGTTGAAAAAAGCCCCACTAATAGGGGAGGGGGATGAAAACAGCTTTGCTAGCAAAGTATAGTGCGACCATGCAGTTTGTTTCAAATTTAGCAAAGAATGCTTATAAGCCAAAATGGAATGAAGCATTTCATTGATTAAAACCCAAACGAAACAAGTATACATTGTAGGATTCAACACAAACCGTCTATAACTATATAATATAACGTTGCGGCAACAAGATCTTTATATAGCCATGCCTGCACTCTTCGGAATCAGCTGACATGTCCAGTTCCACTGCTATGCGCTGCCCGACACCGGCATCTTCGATGTATCCCATCTTAGCAATGCTGGTGATCAGCTCTGACATATGAGAGACGTCTATGCCAACACCGTGGCGATTGCTCTGGTGCACTGCCAAATTCTCACATTTGACAGTCATGGCGTACATGAGGTTCTCAGATCGCATGAAAGTCATCGCTTCCTGCGAAGCAAACATGATGCCATCCTTGGCCATGCTATCCAAACAGGATTGCAAGACCTTTTTCTGGCGCTCGTCCATGGCAGCGCGAGGCACGGATAGACTCAACTATCCAAAGGTGACCACTGAATCACAAATGCACAAACATCACATGTGTCATTCCGCCTGTTCCACTATGCACACTGCATATGACTTTGCATGTTCTTGCTGTTCATGCACGCAACATGCAAGGCTTGCGAGCCAACTAGCCCAGCAAGTTAAAAGGCATGCGCGCTCCCTGCGACTTGAAAGGCATGCATGAAGACAAGCTTCAGCAAACTGCAACCATCCCAAACTCCATGCCTGCATGCGTGTGCCGCAAAAAAGGTCCTGAGGAGTCGGAGTGGATCATGGGAAACAATCAGAAGCATCATTCCGGGTGGAGCATGTCCTGTGGGATGAAACAGTTGGTGGACCCATCAAGCCATTCCAAATATACGTGAGACACCATGCAGTGTTAAAATCTTTCCGGGCCGGCGCAAGAGCAAGATCTTCAAAATACCTGGCAAAATGCGAAACAACATTCAAGTATTGTTTTGTACAACACATCTACGGCCTGCAGCTGATGACGCCACTCAAACTATATCATATATGGTCATTAGGCACCCGGCACTGCCATGTCCAAACGATGCCTTGGGCAGACCTGGCACCATTCTGTAGACAGATTTGTTCACAGAAAACTTGAAAATCAAGCGAGCATATACAGCCCAGCTTGCTGGTAACACATGTATTTGGTAGAACATTTCTCTTCAGACACACCTCTTTTGAACGTTGAACCATTATAACCTTGGTCGTGAAGCAACAAACCATCCCTATAATGAAGCAAACACTGATGGAGGGATGATCCTTTCATCAAACCACATGCAAATCAGTGAAGGCAAGGTATCACACTGATGAAAGCACTGAAATGCTCAAAATTCAAGCCAGATGTCTGCATTCAAATGACTTGGCTTCGATTTTAGACAAAAGCTACAATCACTTTCAAACAGGGTTTGGGAAGTTGACCACAAAAGAATTAGAAATCACGGGTTGAATATTCAGGTCGTTTTTTTCACATATGGACACAAGAACTCTGCATGCTGTCGGAACCCTTCATGCGGTGAGCTCCAAATCACGACGTCGCAAATTTTGTCCTTCCTCTGCGTTTTGTAAAGTACCCCATTTTGCACACGGAAGTCTATAGTAAATTACAAATTTAAAATTCCCCATGTACCACAGCTCAGCGAAATCGGCGATGCTTTCTGACGTAGTCTTCCAAGAAGTCTCCCAAGATATGTGCCTCGACACTCTCCTCGGAGCAGCGGCTAAGCTTTTTTTGATGGTGCATATTTAGGCCTTTGTCGGAAATACATCCTGAAAATGAAAACACTGGCAAATGCATGGGCAAGTGACTGAAGCCAGCAGGTAGGCAGAATGACGCTTCAGTCTCCCTGTGCTGGTAACCTTCAGGAGGTTCCTTTGCACCTCGTACGGATGCACAGCCGCTGCTACCTGCTTCTTCTCCGGAATCCATGCGGGGGGCGGCATGGAGGTCATGGCATTTGTATCTGCCGAGCTCATGGTTATATGGTTTTGGGATATTTTGGGCCACTTCCGTAGCTGCATTCAAATCAGCATCTGACATCTGCCATGGAGTCAGATGGACACATTTCCCCAGAAGCGACAATATGTATAAGGTGTCTCATATATGTACAAATAAATAAATAAATATATATATATATGTACGTGTGTGTGTATACATCTGACTGATGTCGACATGCGCCGGATAGATTTCATGAACCAAACATCATGTGACGCAGGTGGAACCCCTACCACATGCGAGCAACCATGCCCAGCATGCATGCTTCTGAAGTCCGCCAGCCTGCACCGCATAATGGGGCCCACGCAGCCGCGCCAATTGGTCCTAGCTGCAGGTTGGGCAATGCGGTATAGTGGGTCACAAAAATGAGAGGTCATGACTCGTTTTTAAGTTGTGTATAAAAGGATGCTGGGCAGTTGCTCACACGCAATTCCTGTGTGAATCTTATTCCAAGACCCATAAATTGCCACCCCAAATTAACCCTCTTGGACATGTTGGATATAGTATAACGTTGATGCGCTCACTCACTCCAAGTTTAGGTGATCTGACAGATGCCATGATCAATGCACCATGCCTCCAATAGACGAGCTGCCGCAGAAAGTTGGTCCTGACACGCTGCGTTCCACCGGCAACACTTCTGTAGATATCAACGATCAATCTTGCATTAAAGGTATATGTCTGCTATAGGGTATGAAGTATATACAGCGCAACAGGCTTGATTGAATGCAATGATTAGTATGGATGGAAAATGTTTTAAGAGAAAAATATATCTTATAGACCCCGGTGAATGAACTTCGTATCAACCAAAATGATCCCAAAATGATCAAATCAAAGGCGCCACCACATTGAAGGTCGTTTGCTGATATGCCGAATGCATTCCAGTATGGATGCGATGTGTTTGACTTGATGCTGGTCCAAAAATAGATATGGATACATTTCTTACATGTTAGATTTCATTGAAACATCATGGAGTCCCATGATATGAACGATGCCACTGTTTTTGATGATTGCCACTGGCACATCATTCTTGAGTGAATGATCTGAAAGATGTGCACTGCATGCGAGCGCGACGCGCCCAGCATGCTTGTGATCTATGTGTCATTCCTCCAATAGACGAGCTGCCGCAGAAAGTTGGTCCTGACACGTTGGTCTGACATGAGCGGAGATATATTTAAACACAAAACTCTGTGCAGTGAAATACTTCGTAATTCCGCATTAGTTCTGCCCAGTTCTAGGACATGACCTACATTACCATGTGACTTCAAACACAAATTCCCTGCAGGTCTTCTTGTCCAACGCCACGGCACAAATCATGCACTCCAGCCGCGGCCAACCGCTTTCTGGAGCTAGCTCGCAATGGATGCATCCAGTGAAGGCTCACTGGGATGAAAATGCATGCATCCACTGCAGGCGACGCTCACTTGGATGAAATTTAGTTTTCACCTAATTTGGATGAATGTCTGAAAGCAGCACTCTTTTTTTTGGCGCTATGAAAAGACAGGTGTAAAACTCCCAGGTTTCGGATTTGTTCGCATCTCCATCCACAACCAGGGAAAGACTCCCTGCAGCAATGCAAGCAAGCGAGCCGTAGCCCAACCTGCTTTTGCATGGGTTCGCGATAGCTTTCATATCTATATTAGCTGGATTGAAGTCAGAATGATGGTTGTTTGTATACATATGTAAATATACATATATCTGTCCATGCACCCTTTGTTGTGGCACTGTCAATCCACTTCCTGCTGGCTAGTCAGTGAGCATGCATTTTGTTGGTGCAGCTTTAAATCACCACTTTCGCACGGCCGACAATCAGGTGGTGCTCAATCAGAATTTCAAAACAAAACTTGTTTGAGATAATTTGCACAATTTTTGAAAATTTACGATAAATACCCGTATACCGGCTGCACCTGCACTCTTGTGCATGCAGTTGCGAGCTGGTTGCACAATCCACAGCTATGCATGCTTTGTTTATTTTAGCAACGTGACAGGTTTGCCAGCAACTCATGCCAGAACCCGAGCAAAACAATGGATGTGTGAAAACTGAAACCTTGATCCGCCATTGATCTGCACTTGTTCATGCAATGCATGACGGATGAAACAAAATGTCGATATGCTGGCTATAGCATCAGCCTGCATTCTTGCGGCTCAACCATTTTCGAACATGTCCAAGAAAGGTTTTGATACATGCACGGCCACATGCAAAGGTTCCTTTGAAACAAACCCATTTAACATTTATACGGTTTGAGTTTGGATGACAAGCTGCAGGTTGTGCACGTTTGCACATCCATTGCGGTATAGCCCGGATCCCACATCCCATGGCTTGGAAATGGGAGGTGATGTGTCTATAGAATGATAAAGAACTGAATTGTGTCATCTCAGTGCTTTTTGCTGTTGACGAAGTCACGCAGCGTTGCAGCCATGCTCAATATACCGATGACAGGAGTCAAATCAGAGCCTATATAGAGCTCGAAGCAGCCTTTGATGCACATGGATGGAAGAACACATGTCTGGAAAGTGCGCCATGCAGGGTCTCTCTCAGGACTCCGAAGATCAGAGGTATGTGCATATATACCATGAGGGAAACCACGAATCGCATCAATCTTGTTCGCGTATGCACAAATATACGAACCTATATCCATATGCATGTGTGACAGGCAGGCAGTATATAGGTGGTGCTTATAATATCTGTATGTTTGTGTATATTTATTTACTTATATATTCATATATATATACACATAAATATGCAGGTGCGAACGCGGCAATGTTGCCAGGATTCCAGCCCCTTGCCATCCACAAGGATTGTGCCACTGCCGCAATGCACTTCCTGCGCCAAAGGATGCGACAAAGGATGCATGACGAATCTTTGCTATACTATATATACTTCGATATGATTCAAATAGTGCTGGATCAACCGCCAACTGCTATGTTACTATATGTTCCCCTCAGGAATTGTCATCCCCCTGCCAACAAGCACTTGTGAAGCCACAGTGGTTGATTCCTGCTGCCGGAAACATCACTGCACAACACAGATTGGCATGAATCAATAAGGCAACTGATCTCGATACCTATATGTTTGTAAACATGCATGTAAATGTATGCGTGATAAACATGAAATAAACTGTATGTATGTATTATCTATATACATGCATTATATATATATATATGCGTGTGTGTGTGTGCACGTATATCCATATATATATATATACATACATAGATAACCTTTCCATCCATATTAATGCGACCCAGAAATCAATTTTTAAAATCAATATATGCAGTCTTTCTTCCACGATGGTGGCAAAGCTCGTTCCGGTGGACGTTCCTGCAGTGCTTCTTCCGCAATCTCTTCCCGGGAGCATCGGCTTCAATCACCTCGACCTCTGACCTCTGCGGTCTTCTTCTTCCTCTTCTCCAAAATGTAGAGCTCGTCGACCTCTGGAAAAAAAAGCCCCTCTCTGCTTCACAATCA